TTAACATGGTTAAAAATGTGTGAAAATTAATAAAGGGAAACCTCTTTTAAAAATAGAGTCAGGAGCCAGATCAAGCACTATCACTTGATCTCAGTTACAGACTCTAACAGGAAAGACTGTCATTTAGGGACTTCGACAGGAAGAGATGCACTCTGCAAGTCGATACTATTTTATTACTCCAACAGGCGAAAGAAAAGCTTCCTTTCTTGCCCAGCAACTTAGCCAATGAGAAACCATCACCGCCCTGAACTTTCATTGACCTCCGAAGGACTTTCATTCCCAATAACCCCTCCCAACTTCCTCCTATTAACCTGTAAAGTAACAATCCTCTCCTTGGCTTGTTGGACTTGCCTATAGTTTCTCCTATAGCTTATTTGTCTTGAATTATAATTTTCTGCTATTCCCAAATAAGTCCATTTTGCTGGTAAAATGACTAACTGTTTTACTTTTTAGGATAACATTACTTGGTGTCATGAGTGGGATCCAGAGAAGACCCCTGACAACTCCAAGGCTGGTGAGTAAAAAGGTGCTGGTACCTACTGAGCCCATTGAGCTCACTGCTTTCTCACCAACCCTGGAGTTTGAGGGTAAGTTTTCTCCTGGAGTCACGCTCCACTCTCTTTGCGTTTTGAGCCCTTCGACTTTATTTGGGATCTGTTCTTGTTTTTATAAAGGCTTTGTCCTTTTGGGAGTACTCTTTTAGCATTTGGCCAGACTTCTTTGGAATCAGGCTGTTCATATTCAAAGTGCATGGAGTTTTTCTTTTGCTGTCAAATTAAAACCTCTAAGAAAAAGAATCGCAGTCATCTAAATGTTTTAAGGGCAACCCCAGCCCCGCCTTCAGGGACCCTGACTGGTTTTGTTTAAAAACTGCAGTATCTCTTCATGTGCATTTCTCACTAAATGGATTGACTTGACCAAAAGTAATTTAGAACACCAATGGCCATTATGGGGAATTACCAATCTCCCCAAACTTACTTTTCTCAAAACTAAATTGGACAGCCATGGTTCTAAAGTTAGCAAAACTAAGTGGGACACCTATTTCGATTGCTATCTTGAGGCTTCCAAACATTTTCAATACTGCTGGTCAAGAGGCTGTCCTGAAAGTGCTGTAGGATGGAGTTAGTTCCTCCTGCCCTTTTGGTTGTAGTTGTTGGGTATCAGATCAAACTGGCTCTGCAGCAGAATTTAAGACTTTGGACAGGCTACGTTAGCCAACTGCACCAGAGCAACTCCCAGAAGTAAATTCTTTATTAGTCCTTATAATAGGCCCTATATTAGCTCTACACTGCTGAATAAAAAATGATCCCAAAACTTAGAAGCTGAAAACAACAAACATTTATATCATGATTTCTGTGGTTCAGGAATGTGAGAGTGGCTTAGCTGGATAAGTGCGGCTTAAGGTGTCTTTTGAGGCCACAGTTGAGATTTGGGCTAGGGCTGTGGTCAGCTCAAGTCTCGAATGCTGTTGAAAGATCCGATTCTATGTTCACTCGCTCTATAGGGCTGCCTCATGACATTCCACCTGGTTCCACTAGCAAGAGTGATCCAACAGAGAACATCCAGGACAGTAGCCACAATCTTTTTCTTTTTTTTTTAAGCTTAAACACACTGATGTATTTTTCTTATGTAATAAGAAATCCAGAACTAGACAGCTACAGCTACCGGTGTCCCTTCACCTGTTCAATGATGCTACAGACTTTTTCTTTTTGGCTCTACTATCTTTAGTGTGTTTTCTTTATCCCCAGGCTTGTTGCCTTCTGATTGCAAAATGGCTGCTGCAGCTCCAGGCATCACATCCATACTGAAGGCAGAAAGAAAGAGAAGCCAGTTACATTTCCCTTTCATCGATATGGAAAAATCTTTCCTGAAAACCCCCACAGCATACTTGCAAACATGGCCATCCCTACCTGCAAAGGAAGCTAGGAAGTTGGGGGTAGAAAACTATAGTCCTTTAAGCCTAATCTTGGAAGTGCCATCTCATTGCTTCTGTTGTGTGATATTCATTACAAGTAAGTCGGTTAAGTCCAGCCCAAGTCCAAGGGAAGAGGATTACACAAAGGCGTGAATACTGGGAGGTAGGGGATCATTTTGAAGGTCTCACCTCAAAGGTCTCAAAGCCAGGAGACTAGATAACTCAATCCAGGCAAAGAAAACATGCCCCAAATCCAGCTGGGGGTCCATTCTGGAGTTCCAGGTGGCGTTTTCCTTTTTTTTCTGGTCACAGACTCTTTAACTGGACCTGCAGTATTGCATAGCGTAGCAGGAAGCAGGAAGAGTTTGCCATAGCACAGACTCTCCCATGTCTGGCTATGAGGAAACCAACACTGGCAAATGAGTTTAAAGGGGTTTACGGCACTTTCAGAGCAAAATCTGTGTCTTCAAAAGAAGCAGTACTATAGAAAGGCACAGACTCAAATGAGAACACAAGTATTGTTTACTGCAGTGGGAGTGAGCCAAACATTGGTCCCTTAAAGGGTGAGATTTTCTGAACGAAGTTAAACAGTTTCTGCAAAGCAGTCGGGGGTGTCTCTAAGGGGAATATGTTGGTTAGTATGGTGAGAAGAATCCCAACATTTGTTTCCACTCTTGATGGGCTGAGCTTGCTGATGGGGTTGTAATAACCTCAACGGAAGGTCATTTTGTTGACCTGAGATCAAGATCCAGTTTTTACAAGATGAAGTTTCGGGTTAAGCAGGTGAGAGAAATGTACCTAGTAGGAGGGGCTTATAGAAGAAAAACTACTGTATTAGTTTCTACTGTATTATGCTGTAATATAGTTCCACAAACTGGGTGGCTTAAAACAACAGAGGCTTACTTTGATTTCCTTCTGTATGAAATTAAGGTGTTGGCAGGTTAGTTCATTCCTATTGCTGGAAGAATCCAGCTGCAGGGTGGGAGGGAAGTCTCTGTCTGGCTCCCTACTGTCACAGCCAGCAATGGTGGGCTTATCACTTTTCTCATCTATTCTGCCTGCAGCTAGAGAAAGTTCTCTGCTTTTAAAAGCTATGTGATTAGACCAGCCCTGGCAGGAAAATCCAGGATACCCTATTTTAAACTCCATAACCTTAATTATATCTGCACAATCCTTTCTGCCATATAACATAAGCCATTAGAATCCAAGGTCCAGGATGTGGACATCTTTGGGGGCTTAGATAATTCTATTTTTGTGTGTGATCAGCATTTTTGTGGCAGATTCTTACTTTTGTCTCACTCCATCCTGGTCAGAGTGGCCTTGTCTGATGTTGATGTTCTACGAAATTATGTTCAACAGGAGGACACCACAGCTCAACTGTGGACACGAGGCCAACGCCCATCTGACCACAGTCAGGGCCTGTTTTTGCCTTTCTCGCTGTACACTCACTATCTAGTTTTTACACATGCTCTTCCTTCTGCCCAGAACACCCTTCCCTCCTTCCTTCACCCAACTCTTCTCTGAGAAGACCTCTTTGATTCTTAACTCACTAACACAGGGTGCATCTGGCCACTGCTAGGATCATAATTTTTTATTCAACTTCCTTACTGTGAGCCCCATGTGACCATGGACTGTGTCTCCCATTTGCCGCTGTGTTTCCAGCACAGGTGCACAGAAACCCTCGATATGTACTTGGGAATCTGAATGACTAAGAGCTACAGAATATCAGGATGATAGAAGCTGAGTCCTCAGGATTGGTGCCACGCTCCTAGCAGGTGTGCCTGGGAGGCAGCAGAAGTCACTCTGCAGGAGATTTAGCTTCTTCTGGAATGATTCTCTTAACCTCAGTTATATCAATATGAGGTGACACGATTCCTGTCCCCAGGGAGGTGTGACAAGTCTCTCTTTAAATTTTTTATGCATTTTAAATCTGGTTCTTGTCTAGATTAACTAGGTATTGCCTTTGGCAGCTCCACACACCTCACCTTGATAGTAAACAACAAATGTTTATGCTAAATCTATTCTTCTCCATGACAAACACCATTCTTGGTGCACAGGCCCCATACTCCAGACGTCATAGCTATGGGAGAGATAGAAAACAAACATGTCACTAAATGGATAAAGCAAGTTGATACTATGGCAAATAAAAAAGAAGGCAGGTGAAGGATATTTGAGCCAAGGCCTAAGAGGACATGAAGGAACTGGCCAGGGTAATGCTTGGTGGGAGCAGAGGGAACTGTACGGGAGAACTCCCTGAGATACGATTGTGCCTAGCAATTTGGAGAAGGGATGGTGTGTGGCTGGAGCTGAGGAGGGAGGAGAGTTAAGGAGGTGGGAGGAGCAGAGCAATGGGGACCCACGAACACTTTAAAGCAAGGGAGATCCACGGTCTGACTTAGGTCTCAACAGTGTCATTGGGATTGCCTTTCAGAAAATGGACTCTGGTCAAGTCGTCTTGCCTGAACTGTCCCCCAAATTCACACCCTGCTTCTCCCCACAGCCAGGCTCAGTGTAACCATCCTTTAATAGAGAAAATATTGCAAAGGAGGAAGGAAGGACAGCAATCCAGGAGGAGGGGCCGGCGAGGAATTTGAGCTGCTCGCGGTTACAGATTGGCCATATTCAATTCCTCTTTGAGTCTTTTTGAGTCTCACCTTCCCCACCTGGAAAAAGCAGAGTGTGTTAATTTTTCTGCCTCTTTCTCCTGTCTCTTCCCTCCCCAGCTTCGCAAGCGAGAGTCCAAGAACGTGGGCTAGGAGAGAGAGCGCGGCAAAACACAAAGCAATAGCGAAGGGATCAAAAAAATTCCTCCCGCGGTAGCTGGTCTGCTTATCGCGTGTGAACCGCGGGCTCTGGCGCGCTCTGGCGGCGGGGCAACTTCCGACTGATGCCGCTGGACCACGCGTGAAGCCGGGACTACCATCTTGCCTCCGGGCAGTGGCCATCTTGGTAAAGGCGATGTTCTAGATTGTCGCTTCTACCCGCTCCTCCTGACTCTCCAATGTGAAGTGAGCGCCCTGGTTGAGGTTTTATAAAATATACACTAATTGACTAGAAAAAGAAATGGCTGATGACATTCGCATGTGTCAGAGACCGAACAAGCATTTCCCTTACCAAGATGGCGACGGCGCCGAGACGTAATCAGCGCGCACCTCCGGGAGCTCAGCACGCAAGCCCCGCGGTGACATCACGCAAGAGCGACCTGGCCGGCGCTGGGGGAAGGAGGTAGGAGCGGCCGCGGCGCGGGCGGAGCCGGGGTTCGGGGGGCGGGGTGCGGGTGGGCCCGGCGGGCGGCTCGGCCTGGGACCACCCCCCAGGAGGGCTGGAGGTGGGGTGCGGGGCACTTCCGGCGGTCAGTCTCGATAGCTGTCGCGGGCCCTGTCCCCATTTCCCAGAGCGCGCAAGTGAGACTGAGAGGGACAGCATTGTGTTCGAGGCCACCCAGTTCCGGCCCGGCACCTGAGCAGCTTCCAGGCTTGGGAGGTGACAGAGCTGTTATGGATGCTCCCGGCCTCTGGCATTAGCATTAAGGCTGGAGAAAAAGACGACGGGCTGGGGGAGCCCAGAAGGGAGAGCGGGAGGGCTTCTTAGAGGGGACGGCGTTGAGCTCCGTCTATTGTCTTTCTTACATTCAAATCCAAGCAAACTCGTGGGTTGTGATTCCCTTCTAAGTGTACTCTTGTCCAGCCAGAACCACTCCCTGGACCTCTGCTTATGTCTTACCCCTAGAATTCACTTCCTCAGCACTAGAGGCTCTGACCTGCAGATCCGCTCCCCCTGGCTCTTAACGCCCTCTGTACCCTCCCATTACTCTGGAATACACACATCCCTCTTCCCAACCTGCTTTCCTCACATCCCTAGAGGCTTGGGTCTCCCCTCTCCTTTAGGCCTGTTCTTTGGTGTCTCACCCTCCCACTCCCACCCCACCACACACACACACTAGGCTGGTTAAGAAGCTCCCTCCTGGCTTCCCCAGTACCCTGCATGTCCCTTTCACAGCTCTGATCTCAAGTAATCACTTTTATTTATCTCCCAGAAAACCCGGGAGTCCATTTGGGCAGGAAGCCCATCGGCTCTGCCTCTTACTCCAGTGTTCCACTTGTACTAGGTGCTTAATACATGTTTACTGAATGACAAAGTATGTGAGTGAGTAACTGTTTACCACACACAGAAGAAAAGCTGTCTGTCTTAGTCTGCTGGGGCTGCCATAACAAAATCCTACAGATGGCAGCTTAAACAACAGACATTTATTTCCTCACATTTCTGGAGGCAAGAAGTCCAATATCAAGGTGCCAGCCAGTTCAGTTCCTGGTGCAGGCTCTTCCTGACTTGCAGATGGCTGTCTTCTTACCATGTCTTCACATAGTGAAGAGATCAAGTTCTGGTGTCTTTTGCTTTGATAGGGGCACCAGCCCTATTAGATTAGTGGCCAACACTATAACCTCATTTAATCTTTATCACCTCCTCACCAGCCCTGTCTCCAGATACAGTCACAGTGAAGGTTAGGGTGTCAACAAAGGAATTTTGGAGGGACACAAACATTCAGTTCTAGGATCACAGCCTTAAGAAGGGGTCAAAAAAGCCCTTTCAGGCTTTGGGATGGAGGTGGGGTTCCTGAGCAGTGGGGCATGGGAAAAGGGGATGCTGGGAGAAAGTCTCTGTGAGTGGGCAAGTTTTCACAGGAGGAGAGGACAGGGGATGGTGTATTAGGTGAGGGCATAGCAAGAACGGGCTGGAGGGCAGGTGAGTGGGAAAAACAGTGAGAAGCTAAATTTGGACACAACACAGAGCAGGAAGTAAATACTGGGGGAACCCTGGAAATCAGTGCTTGTTCATTCATTTGCTCAGAACATTTATTGAGCAAATGAATGAGGACATTGGGGATACAGAAGTGACCAAGGCAGTCTCAGCCCTGCCCTCACAGGGCTCCCAGCCCTGTGAGGAAGATGGATATTTGTCAAACAATCATAAATGAACATAAAGCCACCCAGATAAGTGCTTCAAAGAGAAGTTTGTAGTCCGAGAGTCAGAGGATGCCTCAGGGAAGACTTCCTGGAGGCGGCAACTGGGCCCTGAACTTTAAATAGGAGTTAATGGGATAAAAAGAGGAACGAAGAGCAGTCAGGTGGAAGGCATAGAAAGTGCAAAGGCCCTGAGGTGAGAACTTGCTTGGGATATTTGAAGAATGGCAAGGAGGCTGCTGTGGCTGCTGCCAAATGAGTAAGGGGCAGATGGAGCAGGAGATAAGACAGTTCCTCATGTATAACTTGGACGGTGACTTCCACTTCTTGGTGCTTTCCTGGGGAACCTGGGAGGGAGTTTCTGTTGGGTACATTGTAGATGCTCAGTAATGAATGCTGGATTTAGAGGGCCATTGAGCACCTGGGAGAAGTGTGGGATCAGCCTGGCATATCTGCACCACCCCCTGCCCTGCAGCTTTTGTGTGGGGAGGGACTGGAATTACCCCACATCTCAGACAAGGAAACTGGCTGGAGGGGAGCACATCAGCCACGAATATAGAGCCAGGACTCAACCCAAAGTCTGCTGGGTCCACTGATCCCCACTTTGTTCTTCTCCATGAGGCTCACTCGCCAGTCTCAGTCTGGAGGGGCTGCCTCTCAGTGCCGAATGAGGGGCCCTAGAGGCTTCAGAGTCCTGATGTGCATTGATGTTTTTTGAGGAGCCAGGGGTGAAGCAATGGTTAAGAGTCTGGAGTTGACTGGGCTGGGCCTGGGTTGGAATCTAGTCCCCTCCACTAACCATCTGTGTGGCTCAGAGCTTCAGATTTCTCATCTATAAAATGGACCCAGCCATTGGCTTCCCTACCTTAGAATGGGAATAAGGACAGTTCCCCCCACCCCCACCCCACTTAAGGCTTTGGAGCATTTGACTGAGTTGGTCCATATAATGTGCTTAGCAGAAGATGCTTTTGCTGGTGCTGGGGGATGAAATGGTTTAGAATGCACCTGGCATGGAGCATCAGCTCCGTTTGACTCCAAAACTCTTGCCTTGCCCGGTGTATCGTAATTCTCTCAGTGTTTGGTGCTTGCCCATATGATACCTGGAGAGGACTTTGGAACAACCTATTTAGAAGGTGTTCCTGCCCTGCTCAGAGCTGCCTAATAGCTTCCTGGTGCCTGAGCATGGCCTCATTCTTGCCTCAGGGCCTTTGTATGTGCTGTGCCTTCCACCCAGAAGTCTTACTCCTTCTTCCTCACAGGGCTGCCTCCGACCCATCCATCAGCTCAGCTGCCACCCACCAGGGTTGTGAGAATTCTCTAATATGTTGCATGTGGAGCACTTAGCCCAGTGCGCACAACTGCTGCAAATTGGAGCTGATATTAGAGTTTCTGATGGGGCTCAGAAATGGCAGCTCCCTCCCCAACCAGTCACACAGCTAGATAATTGGAGTCAGGATGGCCCTGCATTCTCTCCCCTTCATTCTTGGGTTCTGGGCCTGTTTCTCCAAGGTTCAGCAAGGGGCTGAGCTGGAGTTGTTCAGAAGGAAGAGAATGACCCAGGAGGGAGGCACATCAGTCCACTTCCCAGATGAGGAAAACAGGCACATAAGGCATGTGCCCCGGGCCACACAGCCCTTGGTCCTCAGTCAGCACTTGGAAGGGATGCTGTTAATTTCTCTGCTGCATGGCCTTCCCTTCCTCACCTGAAAGGCAGGCTTTGGAGGTGAAATTCCAGGCTAAGCCCCACATGACCTAGCTAGGTACCTCTTCTTCCCCACCTTGGAATAAAGGCAGTTCTCACATATAAGGCTTTGGGGCATTTGATTGAGGTGGTCCTTATAAAGTGCTTAGCAGAGGGCTGTGCACAGGGAGGGTGGCACCTGCCATTAATGTGTGTTGTCATTTCTCCAGCGCCCAGCGTGGGACTCACAAAGACCAGGTACCTGCTGGACAGCAGCTTTATGATTGTTACAACATCTCCTAGCTATACAAGCCGGGGCTGGGTCATCCATTGTAGTTCATAGCAGCTGCTTACCCAGGGTGAGAGGGTCTTAGCCTCAGGTCTATGGGACTGAGGCCTCAGAGGTGGCAAGTGGGAGGGGCCACACAGAAACAGGACTGCTGGGGTCCACAGCAGCACGACTCGTACAAGCCAAAAAGGGGATTTCCATTAGTGGATGGATGGATAAACAAAATGTAGTCCATCCACTCAAGGAAATATTATTCAGCCATCAATAAAATGAAGCACTTACATACAATACAATGTGGATTGACCTCAAAAACATCATGCTGAGTGACAGAGCCAGATACAAAAAGCCACATGTATGATTTCATCTTTATGAACTAGCCAGAACAGGCAAATCCATAGAGACAGAAAGTAGATTAATGGTTGCCAAGGGCTGGGGGAACGAGGATGGGGAGTAACTAATGGGGACGGGGTCTCCTTTTAGGGTGATAGAAATGTTCTGGAATTAGAGGTAGTGGTTGCACAACATTGTGAATGTACGAAATGCCACTGAATTATACATTAAATGTTTCATTTTGTGTTATGTGAATTTCACCTTAAAAAGAGACCACTGAGTTTGAGCCTTCATTTTACAGATGAGGCCATTGAAGCCTCAAGGGGGTCCTGGATGCCCAGGTGTGCATCTGGGGGTGCCAGAGACGAATGCCCCCCCACTCACTGTTCCCTGTCCTCCTACAGCCTGCTGAGGGATGCCCAAGAAGTTCCAGGGCGAGAACACCAAGTCTGCAGCGGCCCGGGCACGGAGGGCTGAGGCCAAGGCGGCAGCTGATGCCCGGAAGCAGAAGGAGCTGGAGGATGCCTACTGGAAGGATGAGGACAAACACGTCATGAGGAAGGAGCAGCGGAAGGTGCGGGGGCTCTGGGCTGACACACCTGTGGCTGTGGCAGGCACCTGGTAGAAGGTGGCAGGAGAACTCTGGGGCTTTGGCCTAAAGGGCGAGGAGGCACTAGACCTGGAGCAAGGGCAAGGAGGGAAGCAGAGGCATAGGCTTGTACAAAGGCCCTAGAGTGGCCAAGACTTAGCACATTTGCAGAATGGCAAGGCAGCCACCACCCTCCATAAGCTTGTTTCTCTCTTTTGTGTGATGCCAGGGTCAGGCTACACTAGGGTTCTCACCATGGGGTGATTCTGTACCCAGAGGACACTTGGCAGCATCTGGAAGTATTTTTGTTTGTCACAACTGGTGGGTGGAGGGTGCTCCTGGCATCTGGTGTGGGGAGGCCAGGCATGCTTTTCATCACCCCACAGTGCCCAGGATGAGCCACCAGAAAAGAATGAGCCTGCCCAGACATCAATGGTACTGAGGCTGGCAAATGTTAGGATAGGTCCCCCATTTCTGACCTGGGTCCTGCAGGGTCTCCCAGGAGTTTATAAAAACACAGAAGAGGTCAGGGATGGCTGGCTCGCTCCTGATGGGCCCCAGTGCCAGGCACACAAGGGTTGCTTAATTGGTGTCTTGGAATGGTTCTGGGCTGGTGCTGACTTACTTGGTCCAGTAGATGGTGCCAGAGACCCACATAGCCAAATCTCCTGCTTCTGGTTCCTGGGCTGGTGAGACCTGCCCAGATCCTTGGGGACACATTGGTGACTCAAGGCAGAGAAAACAGGTTTCCTCCTTTGGAAAACCGATGTGGAAAATAGCAGTGGAGATGTGTGGTTTCTGCACGCCCAGATCATGGAGTCCCTAGGCACTTCTGAGAGTTTTCCCGTTGTCTTTCTGTGCAGGACTAGATCCTGCCTTGTTGTTAGTGGACATTGAATATCACTGGTTTCCTCTTTATTCCCCCAGCCATGCTCCATTGGGTCCATGGAAGTCTTTAAACTTTCTTTTGATTGTCAACATTTGACAGCATTGAAAAGTTGAGAAAACTGGTATCTGCCAAAGATCCATTATCCAGATAGAAAAGCCAGAGACCTTTCAACAGTCCCAGAGGCAGCAGCCCGCCCAGGACTTGGGCCCTGAGAGCCCTACCCAGGCCTTCGTCTTGGGTCTTGGGGCCATCCCCATTCTCCAGATGAGGAAACTGAAGCTTAGAGCACAGAAATGGGAGCCCAGAAGCTGTACTCAAACACCTTTGACCTTTAACCCCCTCCACACACTTTCGTGCTCTGCAGGCAAGATAGAGGCCCAGTGGGCATCCTTAGGCACGTTAATCCCTTTTCTGGGACATTTAGGCCAGCCACGAGAATGTCATGGTAGCATCGTAGGCAGGGACCATCCCAGAAGCATGGGAGGCAGATGGCAGAGTTGCAGGCAGTGGGGCCTTTGGCACAGGGCCCAGCCAGTGGCCACACTGCACTACAAATGAAAAGAAACTTGCTGTGCCCCCTGGAGCAGTGGAGTAACAGTGGCCAAAGACAAGTCTTATAGGCTAGATGTCCCCTCATCCATTTGGCTTCTGGACCTCCCTGGGGAGCCAAGGTGGAATCAGTCCCAGCCCCTGTGAATCTTGGCTGTGGACAGTGCCTTCCCAAGGTCTTTTGACACATAAGGACAAAACTCCTGCCCCAGCTGGCAAATAGGTCCAGACCCTCCATGGCTCCCGTCACCTTTGGAATCCAATACAAACCCCTTCCCATGCCCTTGAGGCTCCTGGGCACCTCCCCGCAACCTCTTCTCCCTCCACACTTCCCATTCTTACTCTAGGCACACCAGTCTCTGTGCTGCTCCTCTGTCACGCTAAGTGGTTCCTATCTCAGGGCCTTTGCACCTGCTGTTCCCACCACTCTCCTGTCTCCCAGCTCTCCTCCTGGCTGGCTCCTCCTCTGGCCCAGGTTTCTCTCTTTCCTTCAACTTCCCCCCCATGTTGGCCAGCCTTCCCCGTTGTTCCCATTATCATGTAGGATAGGAGCCACCAGTTGGCCCATCTTGCTCTCAGATATGTTCCCTATGCCCAGCACAGGGTCTAGCACACAGCAGGGCCTCAAACCCAGGCCTCATAGTGGTAGGATGGGATCTACTCCTGACCGTCCCATCCTCCCAGGAGGAGAAGGAAAAGCGGCGCCTGGAGCAGCTGGAGCGAAAGAAGGAGACCCAGCGCCTGCTTGAGGAGGAGGATTCGAAGCTCAAGGGCGGCAAGGCCCCCCGGGTGGCTGTGCCCAGCAAGGTCACCCGTGCCCAGATTGAGGAGACGCTCCGTCGAGACCATCAGCACAAGGAAACCCCGGAACCAGGTGTGGAGGGGCTCCTGGAGCTGCGCTCTTACCCACTAAATAACAGACAGTGGCCTGCTTTCCTGGAGAGGAGTCCAGACCCCCTCCTCACCTTGGGAGAAGCTGCCTGGGCTCCGCATGGTGAAGAGTGGGTGGCGGTGGCATGGCAGGCCTGCTCTGAGGAGGGACAGCACAGGCACACACTGTGTACTTGCCCTGAACCTGAATCAGCTTGTGCCCTCCAGGGTTGCCATGGTTATTAATGGTGTGTCCAAGGCTGAGGAGACAGCAGCCATGTGTGGCTCTCCTCTGTGTGCCTGGCTTCAGGAAACTTAGGAGGGCAGGGGGCTGGGTGCCAGGAGGGCAAGACCAAACTACCCAGTAGGTTGGTCCTAGCAGAGCTTCCCAGCTCAAGTCTGGTTTCTGTCCTCCGGCCATCATTCTCCCAATGTGTCTCTGTCTCTGCATATGCCTCTTGTCACCCGGCCGGCTGCCGGACTCCAGTCGAGAAAGCCAAGAGCCACTTGGAGGTGCCGCTGGAGGAAAATGTGAACCGTCGCGTGCTGGAAGAGGGCAGCATCGAGGCGCGCACCATCGAGGATGCCATCGCCGTGCTTAGGTAGTGGGATGGAGCCTAGGCCTTGGGGCGGAGCCTAGGCCTTGGGGCGGAGCTTGGGCCTCCGGGGGAGGGATTGGACCTCTGGAGCTGGGCCTGGGCCTTTGGGGCGGGTCTTTGAACCCAAGTCAGGACATGAGCCTCAGGAGTAAGGCCTGGGCTGGGGGGGTGGGGCCTGAGCTTCTGGGGGCGGGGCTATGCTCTGGCCCCCTTGACGCCAGTGTCCACCTGCAGTGTAGCAGAGGAGGCTGGAGACAGGCACCCTGAGCGACGCATGCGGGCAGCCTTCACCGCATTTGAAGAGGCACAGCTGCCGCGGCTCAAGCAAGAGAATCCCAACATGCGGCTGTCACAGCTGAAGCAGCTACTCAAGAAAGAGTGGCTACGCTCACCAGACAACCCCATGAATCAGAGAGCTGTGCCCTTCAACACTCCCAAGTGAGCCCAAACTGGGGGAGCCACGCCATGGTCGGTCAGGGTCGTGACCCCGTACCCCCTCGGGTCAGCTCCGAGGGTTACAGAGAGGTCCAGGAGCTTGGGCACGTGTCCTGGGGGCTAAGCGTCATCATTGGCCATGCCTCCTGCCCAGGGCCCCTTCTATGAGTGACACCACCCCTTTCCCCTGTGCAGTCCTGGGCTTAGTGCCCAATAAAGGCAGTCGGTGAGACAGAGTATGCACTTGAAGTCTCCTGGGGCAGATGAGTGTTGGGGAGAGGAGGGCTGGAGTTGGGGGAATATGCAGGCCACAAACAGAGATGACAAGTGCTCCCAGCATTGCTCCTGTTGGCAGCAAGCTGCCTGGGAGCTGTGCCCTGCTCTAGGGAGCCCCTTCCTGGCTGGACAACATGTCCAGTGAGGAACCTGTACCACCATCCTGGAACCCTGCTGGGCTGCTGCAAGACAGCAGCACAGAGAGCCTGAGGCTCTGGCTCCAGGTCATGCAGCATTAAGGGAGATGAACCAGAGCAGAGTGGAAGCAGGTTGTTGGCATCCTAAGATTCTGGTTCAGAGTCAGTGATCGGGTCATATGCTGTACTTGGGGTCAGGAAATGCTGGCTGTTCTGCTGTTGTTCCAACATGAAAGGCATCTGGGTCAAGTCCTGAGCAAGCTTCCAGGTAGAGAATTTCTTCAGAGAAGGCCTTAGTGGGAGATGAGTCAGATTCTATCACAGAGGCAGGGCACTGGGCAGGCAAGGGCCTGGAGGCTGGAACAGGCAGTTGGATCGGGTAGCAATGAGTGTCCCTTTGGAGTTTGCATGTTGGGGAAGGGCTGGGTGAGATCTGAACCTAGTCCCGGCTTCCTAGAGCTTAGTCAGTCTCAAGGAGTCAGTAGAGAGGAGGGCACCTGGGAGATGGGTCCATGTGTATGGAACAGGGTTCAAGCACTTACTAGGTCACTGCTATGGCTCCTGCTCAAGTGATACTCTCCCTGCCCCCATAAGCCTTCCCCTGCTGCCTCCTGACCCCATTTCCACTACTATCTCCACCCTCCCCCACCCCCATCAGCCACAGCCCCTCCTGCCTCCTTTTGTCTCAGCTTCTCCAACACGGCAGGCTTGTTTCCCCTCAGGGCCTATGGCCTGTTGGTTTTTCCTGCCAAGAAGGCTGTTCTCCCAAATCTCAAATTTCAGATGCAGATCCTCACAGATAGCCCCCACTGCGTGGGATCTGGGCTGGGCCAAAGTAGGCCAGGCTCTGCTTAGAGGTAGTGAGGTAGAAGGCTTCATGGAATGTGGGCCTTGAAGGATGCTTAGGAGTTCAAACAGACAAGGGACAAAAAAGGCCAAAGAAGATACACATGCAAAGTCCTGGAGGTCACAACTGTCCTTCAAGGGAGGGGTGCCATTAATAACTGGGTACAGCCGAAGTGCAGAATGGAAGCTGCCTGAAACAATGGAAGCTGTCATAAAAAAAAAAAAGTGAGCACGGTGGGATATTGATCCCCTTTACAAATGGGAAAACTTGTCACCTTCCTGTATTACATATCCAGGAAGCATTCAGAGCTGTGGGGGAGACAGCAGGAGTGGTGGTGGGGCCAAGAATTGGGGCTGAAGATGTCAGCCAAATAAGGGGTGGAGGAGCCCAGGTGGCTCCCCACAGATGAAAGCCTCTGCCTCTTACCTCTGGGGACTTAGGCCAGGGCCTTAGTGGTCTGAGCTTGTTAATTCCTGTATAAAATGGGACTAAAAACAGTATCTACCCCTAAGCTTTCTCGAGAATCAACAAGATGATGCCTGGGAAATGCATATAGTGAATAAGGGCTTGGCAAGTGAGCCTCCTGCATGGCCACATTGGGGTCTTTGGGGCTAGGGGTGAGGGGAGGTCTAGGATCAATGGCGATTAACCCAAGAAAAGAAGCCAGCCTGGCGTGCAGGGTCTCGGGCGCCAGGCTGAGGAATAGGGCTTCACCCCAGAGCGTTGTGGAGCCCTGGTGGTGTGAGCAGGAGTGGAAGGGTATCAGAGCTGCGCGAGGCAAGCTTTGCTGCAGACCTGTAGGGAGAGGACTAGAAACTAAAGATAAAAGTCAGGACAGGAGCTGAGAGGACTGCTGTCAATCCTCAAACATGAAGATGCTGGTTAATGTCTGTTGCCTTTCGCAGAAAAGCCCTTCTCTCAAGCCCCGCCCCCGCGGAATTCCGAACTCGCGCGTGCGCGTAAGCAGCAGGGAATCCCCTGCTTCGCTGCAGTGCGCGGGAAGGGGCGTGAGACGGGATTTCCGTGCGTTCCTAGCCCCCCCGCCCGTTGCCAGGACGACGGGGTGGTGCCGGGGGAACGCCGAGCGCGCGCTGCGCCTGCGCTACGGTGCTCTCCAAGCGCCAGGGCTTTCCCGTCGCGCGCGAGCGGTGGGGCGGGAACGCAGCGTCCAGTGCGCATGCGTCAATCTCTGTCGTACTCCCCCCTCTCCCCCCCGCCCTTGGGCCGGGGAATCCTCGCCCGCGCAATGCACTGGGGGCGGGGCGGGGAAACCGGTTTAAACCGGAGTGGGGTTCGCTAAGGAGGTAATGGGAGAGAGAGCGAGACTGGGGTCTTCCGGAGGTTCCCGCTCTGTCCCTCGTCGTAGCCTTGGCAACCCAGAGCGTTAGCCGTAGTGTGCGGGGGTGGCGGCGGCCTCGGGGAAGCCGGGAGGCTCTGTGCCTGCGTGAAGCTCCACTTCTTTGGCTGGGGTTCCCCCTTTTGTCCCCAAGGGATCGGCAGGGGAGGGTGCGGGGAGAAGAGAAGGCGGGCGCCCGGGTTGTGGCTGTGGAGGGGCTGGTACTGGAGAAGGTGGTGGGAAACTCTCAGGATGGGGATGATGGGGAGAGGGGTGGAGGGCAACAAAGCAAAAGGGTGGAGAGTTGGGGGACATTTGGGAGCAGTTAAGGAACACGGACAATGTGAGGGAGACAAAGAAGCCTATGAGTGAGGCATGGGGTGGGGAGTTGCTGTGGGAGGGTTGATCGAAGGGGAGACGGGGAGTAGATGGGCACCTGGAGCTTCCTCCACCCCAGCAAATCCTGATTTTGCTTGGCCAGAAGATACAGTCTTAGGATTTCCAGAGTGAGGGGGAAAAAAAAAATACAGGACTCCCTGTTAGCTTTGACTTTCATATAAACAACCATTATAATTTTTATTATTATAAGTATGTCCCATTCAGTATGCCCTATATTTTATCTGGCAGCCCTAATCTTGGTCAGGCCATCCTTTTTTTTACATCGCCTGTCCTTTTAGCCTTTCTGAAAGCCATGAGGACCTTGTGGATGATGCTTTTGTCTCAGGCCTCTCTGGTTCCCTACAGGTCTGCATGCCAACTCACCTTCACCCCATTCCCTATGCCATCGCATCCTCCTGGACTTCAGTACCAGCCTGAGGTTGAGTCCTGGCCAGGCAGTGAAATGCACAAAGACTTGGCACTCAAGCACCTTCACGGACCTTCTTTCTCCTATAACCCTCCCACCCCCAAACTCTCCTCTATGGCCCAGGCCTTGCATAGGCGACATGTCCCTGCTCATTCTAACCAACATCACCTCCTGGAACCTCCAGGGCTTCCTACTCCCTGTCTGTAACCCCAAGAACAACCCACATCCCCACCTCACAACCTCCCAGCCTCCACCGCCACCCCCGCCACCTACCAGGCTTCTCTCTCAATCTCTGGGCACATAGCATACAGTAGGTACTCTGAAGAACTTTTGAGGGTAATTTTATGAAGGCAAGTAAGGGAGGTGGAGTGGTTGATTTCTCACAGTAACAGATGTGTTTTCTGTCCCACAGGGGCACATACCCTCTCTGAGCCTTTGTACCCTCCAACAAAGCGATTTTCCTTCTGTCTTCTTTGGTTTCAAAAGTGTAGTATAAAACTTTACGGCAAAACTCATAGTCAGTGAAAGGTCATCTCCCCCCCTCCGCAAAGCCCATGGCCTTGGGCTGTCCCCAGCACCTTTCCCCACCCCCTTCTCATCTTCGCTCATCATACTTATTTGCCATGGGAACACTTGAACATTTGCTGCTTGGGCTTGGTTTCCACCCAAGGCCAGGAACTTGGTCCCTGTGGATCATTTTTCCCAGTGGTGTATTATTCTGGAAATGGGCTAAGTGGTCCTGGAGCTGGGAACATGTTGGTGTTTTCATTTTCGATGTCCTAGGCAATGCCCCTGCAGAAGCAGGTCCTGGATCTTTTGTGCCATGTCCTAGGGATGCTTTCCAGGGTGGCTAGCTGGGTGGTGCTGTCACTTTATTTGAAGCTGGGTAGCTCCTGGGGTGGTGCTGGATCAAAGTGGCCTCCTGCTGTCATCAACGAGGCCCCAAGTTGCACTAGGCCCCACATTCCCCTGAGAAACAAGGTGAATAAGTGAATAGACCACACCAGGATTGAGGACAATAAACTGGTGTGATGTGCCCAGAAAAGGAATGACTAGACAGGAAGTGACATTGGACCAGGCTCTGAAAGACGGTAGGGGGTGAGAAGAGCCAAGAAAGGGAGATCCTGGCAAAAGGAACAGCAGATGTAAAGGCCCTGAGGCTGGGCTGGTTAGGACAGACACTGGGCAAAGTCAGAGCATGGCAGGTGGTCCAGAGAGACAGCTGAACCACTGGAACAAAGGGAAGTAGAAGCCAGACTACACAGGACTTTGAGGAGGGGATGACTCATGGTCCTTCTCTTGGTTCAAGGAGGAAGGCTGTCGGTTATTCTGGGTAGGAACCCCACCAGTCACATGGGTGAGGATGGAATTCTGTGTCTGTGTCATGTAGAAGGGACTATGGGGAGACAGTGGGGCGATAATGGGCCTTCTGGGAGCTACACAGGGCAATTGTGGGGATTCAAGGATAGAGACACTCCATGATGTGTACCTTGTGACTGCTGGTTCCCGACTGCCCCTCGCTGTGTCCAACCAAGGAACGGGCCTCATCCTCTCCCCACTGTTGGGGAGTCATCCCCACGAAGGTGCTGGGTGGGGCCCCTCTTTTGTGGAGTGCCCCAGTACCGTCAGCTCTCCCCCTCTCTGCCTCCATAATGCACACACAACACACAGCCAGCCGGCGCCCTCTGAGCAGCATCTCATAAACACAGAGGGAAGAAGGAATGCGCTCCCAGTCATCCCCCACCCCCCGCGGTCCGCATCCTCTAGCCCCGCCCGCGTCGCGGAATCCTGGCCACGGACCCGCCTGCGAAGCGCATTACCTTTCGCGAGATGCTC